AAATTTTTGGGGCCGGAGCTGGTTGTAACACGAAAAATTCGTAAGCAGAGGCGTTCGTAACTCGAGGTACCACTGTATATTGGAAGAATAATTAACCCCAAAGTAAAGTTTAGATAAGACAGGAGGAGTTTGTTTAGGCATAAACTAACCCCACTGGGATGTGTAGCTTACATGACTGGGTTTTCCTGTTTGCATGACGTACTCCCTCCATGATCCAGTAAGCATGTCATACAACAGGAAGACCTATTTAAATGCAAGCTAGGCTAGGACCCTTAAGTTACAATTCTGATTCCAGTTGAACAAAGCAAAAATGAATATTTCTGGAGGTCGTCTTATCCAAGACACATGTTTTGTACCAGGTTGCCATCCATAGCAGAAACAGTTTTCACCAACTGCTTTGGGACTTGTCTAATTACATTCCAAAGATGAGGAATTCTGGAGTCTCTAAGCCTCTAACTACCTTTAAACAAGTTGGCTGGAGCTAATGAAAACGTGGGTCAAACAACATTTAAAGGTTTATGAGTCCCCATCTATACCATAGAACAAAAGTTGACAAGGGTATATATGGAACTGTGTTAAAATGGCTGGGATACTGCATCATAGAAAGCCAGTTAGCTTGAATAAGGCACAATGACTAGGTTCATATAATATCCTACGCCGAATAAAACAATCCAATTTAATGCTTAGTGCAAAGTGGGAACCTAGTTGATGAGCCTGGAATTCTTTGCATGCAAAGCAGGCACTCTACCACTGAGCAAATCCAGTTGTGTGTGTATGTGTGTAAACCTTGCAGTGACTGAGCAGGAAATGAGTTTTAGAATCCTGGTCAATAGCTCAAATACTATGCTTGGAATCATTAAGAAGCAAATTAAAAATAGCCAATATGGTTATGGTTTCAATGAAAATGCACTTGAAACACTGTGCCGAGTTTGGTCACCACACTTCAAAAAGGAAAGCTGGAAAAACAGTGCGCGCACACACACACACACCCACACACCCATCCCAACCAACATGATTAGGCAGTTAAAGGAGAAAAGACTACATAGCATTTTTAGTTTGGAGAGAAGGCAGGTCATGAGAGACATGATAGAAAATTATGCACGATATGGAAAATGAAGGTAAAGAGAGGTTTTGGCCCTTTCTCATAACAATTTTGAAGTCACCTGTTATAAGGAAATATGGAGAGATTCAGGACCAATAAAAGGAAGTATTTTATACCTTACTGTGGAATTTGCAACCATCAGATGTGATGGCCACATATTTCGAAGGACAAATTTATGGAGGCTCGGACTACCATTGATTACAGCTATGACTTTTATTACTCTGGAATCACAAGAAATGTATCTGAAATACTTGCTTCTAGGAAGCACCAATGGGAGAAGTCAGTCACCTTCCTGTCCTTGTTTTGAGCTTCATGAACACCTCCATTTGACTACCGGAGACTACATAATGCTGACAAGATGGATCTCTGGTCTGATCCACGAAGGCTCTTGTTCCAGTGGACAGGAATACATTTGATCCATTGTTTGAACTACCATCAAATGCTATGTTTTGTAATCCACACTCAGAAGTGTCTGCCTGCACACATTTACAGCATATTTTATACTCAGAAATAAATACCAAGTCATTCCTTTCTGTTGTAGGGAATTAAGTCAGAAAAAGCCTTTTTTTCCCCTTTTACTTCAATATATCAAGGAACTGACATTATCACAGTATGTTAGTTAGCTCCTGAGTGCCTTTTTGGATCCAGTGTCCATTTTACTAATCAGAGAAAGTTAAATACATTGAGAGAGAACTGCCTGGAAGTTGTACAGTGATGAAATGGACATGTTTCAGACCAAAATCTAAAATGCAATAGATGGATACAATTTCTTGTCAGGAATGTCCAAATATCAGCATGGGGCGGGGGGTGCCTTTTTTTTTTTTTTAAGATAAAAAACACTAATAGTTGGATATTCTTGATTGCAACAGCACAAATGAAAGTGAAGGGCACACAAATGTGTGATAAATGCTTTCCAAGTAAAAGAACTAGATGTTGTTAGTGTTTAGAAAAATCTGTGGAGTCTCTTGGAAGTGAAAGACTACTTACCATTTAAAATGATGACAAACATTACCCTGATTATTCACTATGGCATCTCAGGCCTGACAAATGTTCTTGCAAATCTAAAAGCAAACAAAAGCACGGCGATATTCATGCTTATTTGTGACAGTTGCTTCTGCTTCTGGATTTTAAGGGAATTCTTTAAAATGCATTTCATCCATTTCCCATTTAAACAACAGATCGTTCTCTTCAGGGGTTTTGTTTGTTTTCTGACCTTGTGAACCTTCTAAGACCTCAATACTTAATTAAGGGCTGATTTCAATGGCACTACTCCCAAATAATTGTTCCCTGGATTGCTGCCTGAAGATGGTTTTTCAAGAAACAATGGTGCCTGCAGCCTTCCTTATTTCCACTCAACTCAATACACCTGTGGAAGACACACTAACGCACCCTATGGCTGCTTGTTGCTGCCCCCTCTGAACTTCAGCTCCCATCTGTCTTTGATACTTGCTGAGAAATGGGGGCTGGAGCTGAAGAAGTCTGGAAAAAAATAGTTTGGGGAAAATAGCAGCACCATATATTCCACTGAAATAAATGCACGAGTGGTGTGGAAATAAATGTACTGGATCCCAACCATTTTCCTCCACTGTGGAACCTCTGCAAGAAAGAAAAAAATCTGCTCACCTGCCAGGATGAGAGTCGTGCCTCCCTTTGTCCAGCCTTCATCGTCAGATGCGTTGGGTCTCTGACTGTCTGGGCTTTTCCACTCATTCTCAAAAGCTATCATTTAATGGTAGCGAAATCCTCTATATCAGGAGAGGATTAGTGGAGATGGAAGAATTTGTCTGTTCCATAAATCTCCTGGATTGCTGATAAATCCATCTGTTTTTATTTCTCCTCTTCTCCCCACCCCCTCAGCAGCAGGCAAATGTTGGTCCTCTACATTACTAGGATTTTTTTTTTAAGTCCTCAATCCTGGTGCCTCTTACACAATGCACAAAGGAGAAAGCTTAATGTTTATGTTTGGGTGCTGTGGCTTAGTATTTTGACAATCACAGCAGTAGGAGCTGGAGCTGAAAAAGTCTCAGGAAAAAAAGGGCTCCTTCTGCCCCATCCAGACAAATTCTCATGGCTGAGCTTTCATCCATAATCTGCAGTTATTTTTTTAATTGATCAATTTTAAAAGTCTTAAATTTAAAAGAAGATCTATATTGTTTCCCTTCCACCTGCTGTAGAGCTGAACTGGAGAGTAGCTGTGATTACCTGGGCAGAAAGATGAGTTGCACAGGAGCTGAGTGAGATTGGCAAGCTGGAGTGTATAGAACGCTCAAGTTCTCAGAGACACTTTAGCATTTGATTTATACCCATCTTTTCTGGTTGTTCCCCCAGTATACCACCTGCTCAGTGTAGACAACATAGCCCATTCTGATGCATGCATTTGACTGGTCTTCAGGAAGCATTTGCATCCATTGTTTCTTATGATGTACAAGCAATATTCACTACAGATTTTTCCTGGTCCGAGTAGAAGTAATTGATATGGACCTGACTAGCAATAGTCATAGCAATGAGTGGAAATGACTATTCATAGACCCAGGTTAAGAATGATTCCAGAAGTCCAGGTGTATTGATGTGGTATTTAGGAAGTTAGGAAAAGAGATTCTCATCATGGGAAAAAATAGTGAGAAGTGTCTACAGTATGTAAAGACAGCTGTTCACTCATGATTGTGAGTTCTAAAGTTTGACCAAAATGGCAGAAACTTCTGTAAATACAAGAGAACTTTGCTTGGAGCCTTCAGCTTCCACTTCGGGTACATGATTTCAAAAAGTCTAGGTACATGTGTTTGCACCCATGCTTGTAGTGTCAGAAATGAAGTTTTAGAAGATATACGTACATATACATATACATCCATCCCTAAGATAGATGATATAGATAGATGAGAGAGAGAGAGAGAAATCCCTACAAACATGCTCCAAAGCTTTTTCCCTACAAATTTAAAGGTAGGATTGATTGGCTTTAAATGTAGTTTAGTTTCTGGTTTTTGTCCTGGCCTTACCCACTACTTTATCTACCTTGCATCTAATCCTTAGGAGTAAAGCCCAGCACACCACTCAAAGGCCAAGCATGGCTCTCTGATCCAAAAAAGTTGAATATCCTGCTATAAATGCATAATTGCTCTGATGAAACCACCCTCGTCATCTCTGGCATTAGCAGCTTGCCAACTGATAGCACAATACACAGCTGGGAGTTGCTCACCCCTCTTGGAACTCTTAAATGGGAGGTCAGCTCCATTCTGGCATAATTGCCTCACTCTTCTATCAGATATTACCCCAAATAGAAATACAAAGGTTCCATTCCAGATGAAAAATAGGGAGAAGATGCAAAAACAAGTTGAAGGAAGTCTTTATTAGCTATGCTAAAATGAGGAAAGAGAATCCAGCAAGGAGGGAAAAAATAAATAGGAGAAATTAGACAGTTCCTTCATTTAGAGGGAGACCATGGGTAAGAAAAAGCATTTCTAGCTACAAGTAAATTCTGACGGGTTAAACTAAAAAAAAAAAAAACCCTGGTATTTAATGGATTACAGGAATCCCAGCGCTTTACCTATTTTGCAGGTGTCTGCAACAATTTTATTCTGCAGCATCCATTCTTCCTGTTCTACTGGGCTGAACTGCTGAAAGGCTTGAGGACCACCTGAAGTACTTCTTAGACTGCACTTTTAGACCTACACAGCTCAGTAAACACAATTGCAAGAATAATACTGCATCTAAATCTCAATAATACTGCTATTATTCTATTGCTCCCTCCTCCTTGATGTTCCATCACAGTAATTTATGTAACGTTGGGAGTCTGATCTAGGCTTAAGTTTGTGTTCATCAAGTGGGTCTTTAACTGAGTCTTCTCTGTAATCATTTGAAGGCCCACTTGATGAACACAAACTTAAGCCTTACAGAGAAGACTCAGTATTCATCTCATGAGATACTATTCCTGAGAATGTCAAGTACTTTTCATCACTACAGGTAGGTCATGATTAGTGCAAGTTCAAATAGTGCAATATTTGATTTAGTGTGAATAATAAATTGATACCAGGTTGTGTTTAAAGCAAGCCAAAATTCAGTTAATGCGAGGCTAGCACATGCACAGTTGAGGCTACCACATGCGCAGTTGCTGTTGGGGCTTTAGATGCTAATCATTGTGTGCGCAAAATTGAAAAAAGGAAAGCTCCATTTGAGGAAAGCTCAGAAAAGAAGAAAATCATTTTGAAGAACTACAGCAGAATACAGGTAGTCCTCACTTACTGACTGCCTTGTTCAGTGACCATTCAAAGTTACAATGGTGCTGAAAAAATAACTTTGACCAATGTCTGTATTTACAACCTTTTTAGCATCCCTCAATCACTTGATCGCCATTAGTCAGTACATGTACACAATGGGAAATACACATTGAAAGGAATGCAGTGGCACCAGCAGCCCTGAACACATTCCTCATTCAGCCTGCTTACTGGTGTATTCCTCATTCCCTGCTTACTCTCTTGTAATCCCTTCCTCTCCAATCTCTCCACTCTGTGGAGGGGGAGGGGGGAATGAGTCAGACACAGGAGAGATTGCCTACAAAAATTGCTTGTTGCCCCCCCCTCCGCAGAATAGAGAGATTGCTTAAACAAGCAAAGGGGGGGGGAGAGAAAAAAGTGATTTCTATAGCCAATCTTTCCTATGCCTGACCAGTTTCCCTCCCCTCCCCCCACTCTTGCAGAGCAGAAAGATTGGAAAGAGTTACAAGAGAGTAAGCAGGCACACAATGGGGACTACACTGGTGATTTGTGTAGCATGCTTGCGGGTCTCAGCTCTTGTAAACCCTTTCCCTCCAATGAATGTAAATACAGACATTAATTCCCTTCTTGCTAATTATTCCAGCATGGGATGAGCATTTCAAAGGGTGGGGAGTGGGGAAAAAGGAAAGCTGAAGTAAAATCTTAGGAGGCAAACAAAAGCAGAAGGTGTTGAAACTGATTGGTCTTGTCAGTTACAGGCAGGGGAACAGGCTATCCCAGGGCCCGGGGAAGTGGAAGGAAGTGGAAGGAAAACCCAGCCACAGTCACCTGATTTCTTACTTAGTGACTGCTTCACTTAACAACAGAGCTGCCAGTCCCAATTGTGGTCATTAAATGAGGACTACCTGTACAGGAGATAGCAGGTATGTTTTAGATATGGGTTTATCCTCCAGCTTGTCCTTTGTTCACTTGATCTATTTATTTTAAATATTTATGAGTTCTCTCTAGAACATCTCATGGCAGGTTATAATCCATTATTAGAAAGCAATAAAAAATACTAAAACCATTTAAAAAATAACTGAAGGCTGGTCTAGGTAACAATCTTGCTACCGCTTCCTGCATTACAATTTATGTTTAAAAATTTTTATTGCCTATTTCTGTCAAGTTGGAACCAATTATTCTATTTTCCATAGAAATTTCACTTTGAATAGTGCAAATTCAAATAATGCAACCATTTCATGGGATTCATTATCAGCACTAATCGAGACCTACCTGTATTAAGTATGCAAGAAAACAGTATTTTGTTCTTATCTGCTTAGTTACAGAATAATGATGTTACATTATAATTCTGTTGTGAATCTGGTGGTGAAATACCTAAAGAATCTTGATGCCAGGTAGCACTGCAGGTCTAACACATTTATACAAAACTTTTTTCTTGACATTAGTGGGCATTAGTGTGAAGGCCTTTGCAGTGTATGCTTCAGCTCTCCAAGCTGCACTTACTGAGGGATTGACTTTTCCGAACCACCCCCCTCCTAAATATCTACTACTTCTGTAACCATCCAGCCCAGGAGATAAAGATCCACAAAGCAACCCTAGGATGTTAATCACTCAGGCTGTAACCCAGCATGGACAATAATGAACGTTTTTTCATTGATTTATTATTTAAAAGGTTGCCTGCTTGACACAATTCTGGGAGGCCAACAATTAAAAAAAAGAATAAAGAAACATAATTTTAAAATAAATTAAAACTAACAAATGCATCCAGATCAATTCAACACCATATAACCAAGAAGTTGTT